TAACGTTTTGTACGTCGAACCTATTTAGGACCGACAAATACAAGCCTCCACTGTGAAGCCACTCCATAATACACTTGGCGACGAGGGATTCGAATTCATTCGGTGGAAGAAAAAAAATTCGTTCGCCATAACACACTTGGCGACTAGGATTCGAACTCATACGGAGGAAGAAAACCTTTCGTTCGCCATAACACACTTGACGACGAGGTATTCGAATTCATACGGTGGAAGAGAAAAAAAAATTCACACTCCGTAACAAATTTGGCCATGAGAATTCGTACTCATACGGAAAAAAAAAATTCGCCCGCCATAACACATTTGGCGAAGGGATTCGGATTCATATGGTGGAAGAAAAAAAAAATCGCTCGCCACAACATTTGGTGACGAAATTCGTACTCATACGGGGGAAAAAGAAAAAATTTGCTCGTCACAATTATTTCGGCGGCAAAATCTCGGATTCACATTAAAAAAAAAAAAAAAAAAAAAAACTTGGCAAAGTTTTTCGAAAGACAAGACGTCAACTTAGTGACGAAAAAATCTGTCGTATTCTCAACTGAGAAAAGAATTTTTTTCTCGATAAGACAGTTTGCTCAAATAGGTCACGAATTGCAAATTCGTAGGAACCCCCCCCCTTTGCAATATTTAATCATTATGTAAACTTTTGCGAAGATGGAGGAATGCAAAAATATATTCCAGGAATTTTTTAAGTTCCAGACGGAACAACAGATGACAATATTAGAGCAACAGAAGACATTCCAGATGCAACTCCAGGAGGAAACTTTTAATAGACAAATGCAGTTTCAACGAGAAATGGAACAGATGCATAAGGAGTTTCAAAACAAAATTCTGGAAATAACTGAGAAGAGGAAAGAGAAAAATCTACGAAATGATTCTTTCCCAGAGAATACAATATGGAATTCAATTGAAATATTCACGTACAGTCCAGATGAAGAGATAACTTTTGAGGAGTATTATAAAAAATATACGGACGTGTATAACGAGGACTGCTATTTTTGGTCTGAAAGAAAGAAGGTTAGGCTTCTTTTAAGCAAGTTAGGAACTGCTGAGCATAACAAATTGGTAAACTACATTTTACCGAAAAAAACTAGCGAGTTGACATTTATCGAGACGGTAAATATATTAAGTGAATTATTTAGTAAAAAGACATCTTTGTTTCACAAGAGATGGAAATGTTTGAATCTAATGAAAGATGACGAACAAGACTATATAACGTACGCAGCTAATGTGAACAAGCATTGTGAAGAATTCAAGCTAGCAGAATTAAGCGCTGACAATTTTAAGTGCTTGGTGTTTGTTTAGGGGCTGGTATCGGAAAGAGACGCAGAGTTGAGAAAATTAGTGCTGTCAAAATTAGAAAACGAACCAAGGATTTCGATACAGACGTTGGTAGAAGACTGCACAAGATATGTTAGCGTAAAGAAAGATACGAAAAAGATAGAACAGTCTGGCGTTTCGCATGTAAGGAAAATACGCTACAAAGAAGAAAGTCACTCTACCAAAAAAAATTCTAAAATTGCGGATTATCAAACAAAAAGTGAAATACCAGAGAAAAATAAACAAAAACTCCCGAAGCCATGTTTTCCTTGTGGTGAACTTCACTGGTACAGATATTGCAATTTTAGGAATAAAAAGGTTTCAACTGTAAAAGAGTGGGTCATAAAGGCTCGCACTGCAGGTCAAAAAATAAAGACAATAAAATAAGAAAATTAAAGTCCGACGAGGTGAACGATGGAATAACCAGAAAATTTGTTACCGTCGAAATAAGTAATAAAAAATAAAAATGCAACTCGACACGGGTTCCGACCTATCTATCATAAATTTGCATACGTGGGAGAAGTTGGGGAAACCAACTTTAATGAAGACAAATAAAATCGCGAGGTCAGTGACGGGAGAAAAAATACAATTTATTGGAGAATTTGTTACAAACGCCACGTTAAATAAAAACACGCGAAAAGCTAAACTATTTGTCATAGAAAGTACCACGAACTTGGTACGAATTGGATAACAGAATTTCAATTATGGGATCTACCGATAAATTCTTTCGACTAGAAAGTAGAAAATTTAAACTACGAAGCCCAGAAATTAGTAAAGAAACTTAAGGGAACATTTCCTATTGTTTTTTCTCCAGGTTTGGGAACGTGTACCAAGATGGAGGCAAAATTCAAGCCAAAAGAAAAAGCTCAAAAAGAAAAGGAATGTGCTGTTTGCTTCAATTGAACAGATAGATAAAGAATTGGACAGATATGAGAAAACCGGTGTATTTAAAAAAGTTGAATGGGTAACACCGACGATATACGTGAAAAAACAAAGCTCCAGAAAGTAAAGATGAAGCCGACACCGAGAAAAACTAGGGAGCGAGTTACCCGCAGCCAAGGACATGCAGTATTATTAAATGATTTAAGTCAACTGAAGTCACTACAGAAAACGTTAAGAAGCACACGATCAACAAAATGGGAGCTAGAGGCTGAACAAATAGAACCACAAGAACCTACAGAAACTGTGACTCCATCCTTAAGAAGCTCAAACCGGAAGGTTGTTTCTGGTAACACTATGGTGGTCCCAAAAAAGAGAAAAGAGGATTAGCAATATGATGTACTTGGTGAAAGGCGAAAAATTCACGTGCAGTAACCAGATCAGACGACGTTTTTCAGACGTGGTTGACAGCGGTCCCGCGGAAGAAACGCCGATGGATGTGATGTTCGATACGTTTGATCTATCAACGCCTGCAACGATTTTACCTGAGGTACGCCGATCCAGAAGAAAAAAGAAAGGCAACTGATCATTTAAAAATGGATAAAAAAACGTAGGAGATACGCTACGATGTTGCTAACAAAAAAAAATTGCTGTTTTTTCTTCATATTTCCTGTAACAAATAAAAAATAAATAAAGAAAACTGTTTACTCCTACGAAGTAAAGTTTTAGGGTGGGGATGTATAGTGGAACACACCTATTCTATAGTTAATAGACTCTCCCACCTATAATAAGTAGTAGTAGTTGGGGTTGGGTAGTCAGTCGATGTCGGACGACCGTTTGTCGGATACTAAAGTATCAGCGACCACAACTAGATTTCTCTGCGTCATTACCTATTATATCATGTTCCTAACGTTTTGTACGTTGAACCTATTTTAGGACCGACTTAGTACAAATACAAACCTCCACTGTGAAACCACTCCATAACACTAACTCTGTTAGAATTTTTGGGTACCCTGGTGTACTAGTTAGCCAACCAAAATGAGCTGACTCATTTTATAGTTCACTAATAAAAGGTTTAACCAATCAGAAAGCTCAAAATATTCAATGCGACGTGTATAAAGGCGGCCATGTTTTTTCCCGAATATTCACTGCCAGCCTTTGATAACCCGGACGAGGCTCCGTCGAAGGGCAGAGTCTCATTCGGGGAGGTTGACTGCCCCTGAACCCGTTTATACGCGTTCGAATAGGGAATATTTTTGGCCGAGCCTACGGGCTCGGAGATGTCACGTTAATCCCGGCCTTGTGCCACATGTAACCCTCGTGGGGTGTGGAGGGCTAAATATCACTGCCAGCCTTTGATATCGAAGACTGAAGAATTACGGAACAGCTGCTGGTGGTATTGGCGATAGAGTCAGATTCAGTAGAGTGTTGGACTCGTGAGTATTAATCTTTAACGTTGTTTCATTGAACAGATTACGTACTGCGCTGTATTCTATATTCATAGACAATGGTGAACATGGTCAACAAGCTCCAGTTCTAAATCAAAGAATAATATTATTTGGATAAATATTTTATTTGAATATACTCATTTATTTACAAAACAAAAATTACATGTACCATCAACTCTTTCTTGTATTGTTTCAATAGAATCCCTGTGACTGGCGCAGGGCTGCCAAATTGTCAATGTTTGGCTTGAAAGCTGTCAGAGAGAGACGTAAATGGCTTCTTTTTCTACGCCAAGGCGATTTCGAGTCTTTGACAGCAGATGCATCATCGGACTAAAACCAGACTCAATCTAGTAAGATGTGGGAAAAATGAGTAAGAGCAACTTCAGATCTTTCCAGAGTCGTGGGTAATTCTTATACATGTCTTCATTCATCCACAGCTTCTGGTATCCTTCACACTTGAACCTCGCTTGAGCTGCTGTGTTATTTTGAAGATCAATGAAACTTTCTTGTAGGGTGATATAAACTTCAGATGTATCAGCAATAAAAGGACCCAGAATCCAGTGCGCCACTGTCATTTGGGGTAGATCAGAGAAACGAGTTTTCATATCATTATCAAACTGCTTCAAATGATCAACATACACTGTTAGGTCATCATCAAGCAGCTCGGTTGATATATTTACTTGGGAAGGAAACACTGCAAACTCACGTCTCCCAAGTTTCAACTAGAACATCTTTAGTTTCCCATTAAATGTGTTCTTTGCATCCTTGCAGGAAAACAGTGTGGCGTCATTTCCATAGAGCTCTTTGTTCAGGACATTTTGTTTTACAAATTTGAATAACAAATTATTGAAAACATACGGTAATTTAAACTTTAAATTTTAAATTTTATAAAGTTGAAAACTAAAAACGACCATTTTGCATAGATCAGATGAAAACATGCAATAAATAAATACTTAATGTTAACAAAATGACTTAGATTAATTTAATATTTAACTTAATAATAAATTTAAAATCTTATTTTAATAATTATTAATTACAAAATACTCCATATATATATTTTGTGCATCCTAAATTTTCTGTACCCCCTTGCCCCCCACCCACCATTTTTCAGACCTGGCCTTGTGTTATATACCGTACCTATGAACACTAAGGAGTATGTCCCAATCCTCATAAACACGTTGGACACTATTGGAAGGGCGATAATATGCTAAGTGGTCCACCACGAGAAGTGGTTTACCTACTTCACGCCGCTGGCGAGTATTGTATTTTGCTGATGTTATAAAGATTACCATTTCATTTCCAACCTCCTTTTTGTTATTCCTCATTCAGTAACCTTTTCTAGCTCCCAACAGATAGATAGATAGATAGATAGATAGATCCTGTACTGAGATAGATAGTGTTATATACCGTAGCCATGAACACTAATGGGTATGTTCCAATCCACATAAACACGTTGACACTATTGTAAGTGGGGGTAATATGTTGTCTAAGTAGTCCACCATTAGCAGTGGTTCACCTACTTCACGCCGCTGGCGAGTATTGTATTTTGTTGATGCTATAAAGATTACCATTTCATTTCCAACCTCTGCTTTGGTTATTCCTCATTCAGTAACTCTCTCTAGCACCTTGTAATTCCTAAAACTATCTCATGGCCCCCAATGAGGCTATATGGCCCATGTTGAGAAACCTTGGTTTAGGTGATCGCGTACCCGGCTCTGTTATGCCTTATGAGACCCAGAATGGAACGCACTGTTGCAACATCCGTTGGTGCTGTCATACCGATTATAGCATATATATTTTCTGGGACAGCTATCCCACAATTTTTATCAAAAATTAATTCGAGATATTTTATTGAGGGTCGGAAGAATGTCCCTTAGACGAAATTTCCAGCACAAGAATTAAATGTAAGAGTTCTTCTTGGGTTGTACCTGTAACGATGATGTCATTAATGTAAGTAGCGACTCCTGTCAATCAGCGACTCCTGAGCATAGAATTGATTGTTTGTTAAAACAATGCTGAAGTTGTCTCGACCTCAAATGGAAGCCAGTTAAATTGAAATAAACCCTTGCGGCTGTTCATAGTGAGATTCTTAAGTTACTCATCAACTTCCATTTGTAGGTGAACATCTGCACGGTCAATTTTTGCAAAACAGGTTCCATCATTGAATTTTGCAAACAAGTCCTCTGGGACCAGTAATGGATACTACTGTGTATTCAATGCATCATTTAATCCTGTTTAATCCTGAGGAAAAGTTTGCAAAGAGACGTAATTTGCCATTGGCCTTTTTCACAAAGACAACACGAGCTACGCACAATGGGTAATTTGTGGCTTCGATTATTTCAGATTGTTGAAGGCGGTTTCGTTCCTTTTCCACTGTGGCTAGTGTCGCGTATGGCATAAGGCGCTTTGGTCTAAAAACTGGCTTGGAATCTGTCTTCACCTTGAGAATAACCTTCATCTTAGCGCAGGGCCTTCCTGTAAAACTTGGCTGAATTTGGTTTGGAGTATGTCTCAAATGCCTTTCAGTTTCTGTTGCATATCTAATTTCAAATGTATTAAACACAGAGTTATCGGCCTTGATGTTCGTAGAAATTTCGTAGAAAATATGCTTAAAGATTGTTGCGTGTAAGATACAAGTTCGATTCCAATCCTAGGACGCATATTTTCTACAAAAATTCTCGAACATTCAGGCGGGTAAATGTAATTAATGCTGTTTAATTAAAAAAATAGCATTTACTCAAATAAGTGTATCCATAACCGAAATTGCGTCATATAATTTTATTCATTTATTGTTGCATATTTATATTCTTATCCCCTTCAAAGTATTCCCCATTTGAAGCAATGCACCGGTCCAGACGTGTTTTCCACTGTTCAAAGCAGTCCTGGAACTCTTGTGAAGTTATGTTTTTTTAATGACTCCGTTTTTTTCTTCTTAACCTCTTCCGCATCTGCGAAACGTTTTCCTTTGAGGACTTTCTTTCTTCGGGAGAACAAAAAAAAGTCGCGGAGGGTGGCGAAATCGGGTGAATAGGGAAGGTGGGGAAGTGGGGTCATGCTATTCTGGGTCAGAAACCGTCTTACACTCAAAACGGTTTGCCCTGGGGCATTGTCGTGATGCAAGCACCACCCACCACTTTGCCACAGGTCAGGGCGTTTTCGTCTCTCCTTGTCTCGCAAACGCTTGAGGACTTCCAAATAAAAAAGCCTGGTTAACAGTTTGACC